ATGCAAGACATTTCAAGAAGTAAAGATGTTAATTGTAAGATTTTATTTTTCTCAGATACACCTGTAAGATCTGAATGGAGTGAACTTCAAAGTCAGGAAGAATCTGAACAAAAAAAATCTGAAGTGAGTCCTTTTGGTATTAATTCAGCAAGAGTTCAATATTTTTGCTGTTTTGTTTATTTTTTTAGTGTGTGCTCTTTTTATTTTCTTTTTAAATATTTTTTTATTGTTGATAGTATTACCCCCTCCCTTTAGCCCCCTCCTCCGAGTTCCTCCCCTCCCCTCCCTCACCCCCCAGGTCTTCACTACCCTATTATTGCCTGTGTCCTTGGACTATGCATATTAGTTTATAAATTTTTTGGTTTACCTAGTCTCGTCCTCCCAACCCCACATCAAGGTATGTAAGTCTGTTCCATGCCTCCATATTATTAGTTTATAATAACTAGCTTAAGACTATTAAATAAAATTTTTAACAGCATTTCTTGTGCAAAGATTTCAGATGAAATGTGAGATCTGGAGTTTTTACAAGGGCAACATGGCTACATATTATTGTCTCATCACTTCAGAGTGTTATTTTCTCAAGCTACTTTTGAAATTCATAAATTGTGTCATGTTCCAAATCATTCTGGAGGTATAAATGGAACTGCACTTAATAAATATTTTCAGGGTCCTAATACTTTTCTAGACTTTTTTCCTTCCATTATAACAGTAGGTATGAGGTTTCTTTTCACATTCAGGGAATGTATTGGTAGCTCAATATCTTAGCTGTGGAAAAATGTGGTTTTTTTTGTCACCATTAATGTTTTCCTATTTCTCCTATATTTTAATATCACTGAAATTAGGGCAAATCTTAAAATTGATTAAAAACCACTGATACACTTTGTCACGTAAAATAGTGGTAACCCTGTAAAAATGATGGTTTGTTTTACAATCCATGGTATCTTGGCAAACTGCAGAAGTGTGTATATTCCTTTGTGTAATAGATCCTGCATTTTCAGTTTTCATCTAGAAAGAAAAAGGAATTTCCCTTTTACTCCCAATATAAAGTACCACATATTTAAAAATATTAAGCCTACGAACAACATAAGCTGATGAACAAAAATAGATCCAAAGGAAAAAATATTTTAGAATATAATAGAAGTAATCCTGTTATTTGCAGATTTATTTATTTATTTAATATATTTTTTTATTGATTTTGTACAGAGAGGAAGAAAGAGGGATAGAGAGTTAGAAACATCGATGAGAGAGAGTCATCAATCAGCTGCCTCTTGCACACCCCTTACTAGGGATATGCCCACAACCAAGGTACATGCCCTTGACCGGAATTGAACCTGGGACCTTTCAGTCCCCAAGCCGACGCTCTATCCATTGAGCCAAACCGGTTTCGGCTATTTGCAGATTTTTAATATTTTCTACAACTTTAGTGATAATGTACTATGCTAGTACAGTTTTGGTAATATACTTAAAATCATTTTCTTCTTGAAATATTGCTGTTTATTGCATGTAACATATTTAAAATTGTTTTTTGTGGGTTTTTAAAAAATATATTTTTGTTGATTTCAGAGAGTAAGGGAGAGGGAGAGAGATGGAAACATCGATGAGAAAGAACCATGGATCAGCTACCTCCTATACACCTAGTGGGGATCGAGCCTGTGACCCACGCATGTGCCCTTGACAGAATTGAACCCAGGACCCTTTGGTCTGCAGGCCAACGCTCTATCCACTGAGCCAATCCAGCCAGGGCTAAAATAGTTTTTCTTGTTATTAATGTTTATTACATGTAACATTATACTTAAGATGGTTTTTCTTGAAATATTAATGTATTGCTTGTAACATTATTTTTTTAAAATGAATAAAGTTAGTTTATTGGGGAGGGGGGTGTGTTAAGACTAATCGAAAACAACATTGTTTTCCTTTGACACTGATAAAGCTTAATTTCTTGGGATGGATACTTATACAGATTTTTTTTATATTTGTTTGTAAAGTTATTAAATGTCATCCTTACAGGGCTTGATAACCTCTGGAAGTGAAAAATGTGGTAAGTTAGACTTTGTTCATTTTTGCTATAGATTATATAGGTTAATTATCATAAAATAGCATGTCTTGTGGCATATGCTATTTGGTTATGTCTGTACGTGAAAATATGTAGGACACCTAAAACCAGAATTATGTGGTATAATTCTTCCAATTTAATTACTATTCCAGGGATTATTATTGATCTGGAAAATAACAGCATTTATTATTAATAGTTATAGGCTCATAGTAAAGAAACTATTTTAATGTATTTCCCAGTGTATTATTTCCTGTTGGCTATAAAACCACTTAGAATCCAGATCTGTCAATGATCTACATTTAAATAAATGCCCCATAATTAATCTATGTGATTGAATTGGGCCCTAAAAATAGATTGCTTTGGAAATCTTTTTTAGGACTAAATACATTTGTGAAGAGCATAAGATTTTGTAGCTCAACTGAGTGTTATAATGCCAAGTTAAAAATTTTTCCTACCACATTACTTTTTACTATCATGCTAAATAGGTCAAGTTACTGTTAATTCTTATAAATCAGTAACATAGAGCAGCTCATCAAACATCTTAGTCTATGTAATTCCCTCAATTCATCTATCATTTCTGCCTTAATCCTCCATTCTGCTTCAGCTTCTCTCACTGATGTTTGCCTAATGGGGTTCCATATCAGCTATTACTCTATCTACTTTACTGAGGCAACATCCTATCTAATAATAGAGCAATATGCAAATTAACCATCACTCCGCGACAAAATGGCAGCCCCCCATAGTCACAGGATATGCTCCCAGTCATAGCTCCCAGTTCCCTCAGTTCCGTTGCTGGAGTATCCAGCCTGTCCACAGGAGCAGTGAGGCTGGATCTGCCTCAAGGGGGGTTTTTGATCTGCCCCCAGACATGGCAGTCAGAGCCTGGACAGCAGGGTGATGGCAAGGGAAGCCCCAGGCCCAGGCCCGGCAGTCAAAGCCCAGACAGCAGGGCATGGGGTCTTCCTTAGCACAGTGGCAATGGAACACCCCAAGCCCAGAAGTCAGCCCAGGCAGCAGGGCTTGAGGGCTTCCTTAGCAAGGTGGCAGCGGGAACACCCCCAGGCCCCCAGACAGAGCCAGGACAGTAGAGCATGGGGGCTTCCTTAGTGTGTCGGTGTAGGCAAAGCCCCCAGGCCTGGCGGATACAACACTGAGGGCATTGAGGCTTCCTTCACATGGCAGAGGCAGGCAGAGAGCAGGGCATGGGGCTTCATCTCCATGGCTGCAGCAAACCTCCAGGCCTGCAGAGAACCACGGGGAGTGGGCCTAAGCCATCAGTAGGACATCCCCTGAGAGCTCCTGGATTGTAAAGGGTTCAGGTTGGACTGAGGGACCCCTGTGCACTAATTTCATGCACCAGGCCTCTAGTTTTTTCAAATGTATTTTATTGATTTTTCACAGAGAGGAAGGGAGAGGCCAGTTTTGGCCAGGCCTCTAGTTTTATTATAAAACTTATCACACTACTATAATAATTAATGAACTTTTCTGCCTCTTCTAATCGATCGGCAAATTACCACATAGGCATAATCCTGCCATTGGTTTCTTTTCTTGTTCTGCCCTTGATCTAAACTAGTGATTTTTACATTTTGAAAGAGTTGCTTAAAAACAAAGAAACAAAAATCAGTGAAGAATATGTGACAGGATTGTATTGGCTTGCAAAGCCTAAAATACTTATTCTATAGCCTTTTACAGAAAAAGTTTACTGACCCCCTATCTGGACCCTAAGCACCGAAGGACAAGGATCATAAAATTGAAGATCATTGCAAGTGTGACTGGAATGATGCAGGGATGGTATCTAGATTGGATAGAGAAGGGAAAGAAACGGAGGAGTTAATATATATTAAAAGGTCATTTGATTTATACTCCAAGTTTCCAGAAAAGTTTCTTTTTCTTTTTTTAAAATATATTTTTATTGACTTTGTACAGAGAGCAAGGGAGAGAGATAGAGAGTTAGAAACATCGATGAGAGAGAGTCATCGATCAGCTGCCTCCTGCACACCCCCTACTGGGGATATGCCCGCAACCAAGGTACATGCCCTTGGCCGGAATCGAACCCGGGACCCTTCAGTCCCCAAGCCGCCGCTCTATCCATTGAGCCAAACCGGTCTCGGCCAGAAAAGTTTCTTAGCAGAGGTATAGGGATATGATAAAGGTTGTGAAAGAATGGATGAATCATAGCAGCTAATTCCTTTTGTTAACTAATCTTACACATTAATAATTAAGTAATTAAACTAAAATTTAAGTAATGTAAAACTTATTTATAGGAGCAGACAGAAAGTTCATCGGTTTACATATAAAAAGCATTTCAGTTGCAATTATTAGCACAGTATAACTAATTTAAGGAAATACAATATGCCATGATTCAGGTTTATTCAAGTCAGAGCATAAGTACTCACTGCAGATTTCTAGGTTCCTAAAGAACACTTAGTATGATTTCTTGTGCTCACTACCTCATCATTATTTATTTGAGCCTCTAAAATCATGATGTCCCTAAGAGAAAACTTACTCTTTAATTTTTCAAAGTAAACAATTAGAAAATTCTACATAGGATAGGATGCTTCAAATAATGGTGATTAACATAGCTCTATTTTGCATTTTATATCATCCAGCAGGAGGTATTCACTCAGAGACTTGTATAGAATGTCCACCTTCGTCGAGTAACAAGAAAGATCCAATACCAGAAAGTCCAACAAAAGCCTCAGATATTGGTAATTTTATTTATTTAAAATATATTTTATTGATTTTTTTTACAGAGAGGAAGTGAGAGGGATAGAGAATAAACTTCTATGAGAGAGAATCATCGATCAGCTGCCTCTTGCACACCCCCTACTGGGGATGTGCCTGCAACCATGGTACATGCCTTTGACCGGAATCGAACCTGGGACCCTTGAGTCCACAAGCTGATGTTCTATCCACTGAGCCAAACCAGTCTTGGCGATATTGGTAATTATAGAACTTGAATTATGTCATTAATGCTGGCAAAGAATGAGGAAAAAATCATTTGCCATCGTTGCAGGATGTCCTTACGGCAAAGTTTATCAAACATTGTGCTATGATTTATTCAGTTTCTTAAATGAACTAACTACCAAAACAAGTTGGAAGTCGATTTTGTGTTTAGAGTTATGCTTAGTTTAAATTCTTAATTCCCATGTGTAAATTTATTTGTTCAAGAAGATAAGAATGTTTGACATGGTTTATACAGTATAAAAATATTTCTGAACACTGACAATTATTGTGGTGTTTTGATTATAGGTTTTGGTAATCGCTGTGGAAAACCCAAAGGACCAAGAGGTCCACCTTCAGAATGGACATGATTCAGGGAGCCAAAAACCACTTTAAATTATACTGGAAAATTCAAGTGCCACTGAAAGCCAGATTTATAGTATTCCTTCTTTAAAATGTGGGACTAACCGCAGTGTAGGTTGTGACCTCTGCATTTTTTGCCAGGACCATCTACCTGCCTTACTACACTTAGGAAGAAGTATTACATATGGTGTTTTGTTTTTTGTTGTTTTTTTTTTTGTTTTGTTAACTTCAAGTATTATTGCCTTAATGTCTCTTAACCCTGTTACACACTGCTTGTAGAACTGTTAATATAGTAATACTTTTATTATAAATTGAGTTTAAGGACTACTCTTTTGCTAATGTTTTATCATGTATGCATTATTTTGTATATGTACAGGGCAAGTAGGTATATAATTTGATAAAGTTGCAGTCATAAAATATTATTAACAGAAGATGTAAAATTTCTGCATGTCTAAATCTTTGTGTACTTTATTTGTAAATTATTTGCCCTGAAGTTTTAGAAAATAGTTTCTGAATTTTAAAATTGCTGGATTCATGCAGCCAGCATTGCAGGTTATCAGAAATCAAAGATTGTAATAATACATTTTGTAAATTGTAAGCAAAAAGTTATTTTTATATTATATACTGTCTAATTGTCCATCCTAATTGTTCTTGTTTTCATCTAGTCATGGAGATTCAGTAAGTGCCTTGGAACAATATTGAATTCTCTTAGCTTGTGTGTGTTACTTTAATATTTGAACTCAACTGGGATTAGAAGACTATCAAACTACATGTATGTTTCAGGATATTTGACCTGCCATTAAAAATCAATTTTACAGTGCTTACTTGTCTTGGTTTTTCATTCCTCATTCTGAGGAAATTAGACTTAATATCTGCTGGTTCAGTCTTACCTTTTAATCTTTTAATTAAACAGGAGGGAGCATCTGCAAACACATGGCTTTGCAATTGTAATACTTACAATAATTTTTTTTTTTATTTTTATTTTTTTTTATTTTTTTTATTTTTTTTTTTTTTTTTTTTTTTTTTTATTTTTTTTTTTTATTTTTTTTATTTTTTTTTTTTTTACTTTTTTTATTTTTTTTTTTTTTTTTTTTTTTTTTTTTGCCCCCCTCCCTCCCTCCCCCATAGCCCCTCCCTCCCCATACAATAATTTTAATACTTATCCTTGAATCAGCGCTAGGCATTACTGCTTACTAAGATCCTAGTAAAACACCAAACCATTTGTGAGGTTAGAAAAGGGAAACTTTTGTTGGGGGGTTTCTTTCACATTCCTAGACCACAGTTCTCATTCATAAGTACCAACTTTGTTTGAATTGTGACATCATGGATGAAAATTAGTATACATCAGTCCTGGCTAGGTGGCTCAGTTGGCTGGAACATCAACTCATACACCAATAGGTTGTGGGTCAGGGCACACATTTACCGATTTTTACCCCTAATTGGGGTATGTATGTGAAGCAACTGACCTCTCTCTTTCACTCTCTATAAAAGAATCAATGGAAAAATATCCTTGGGTGAGGATTAAGAAAAAAGGTGCAAAGTAGATCTAGTTTTGAATATAAACTGTGCTCAACAGATTTGCAGTAATGTTTCCTCTGCTATTTATTTGTCTTTAAGTTGCACAAATCTTACAAGATGTAAATGGCCAATACTTAGATGGTAAACAATTTAAACAGTTGGCAAGTAGCTATGCTTGGTTAATTCAAAGAGACATGTCTGTTCTAAACTATAACAAATCTGGGCTTTGTTGAATTAGTGGGGCAAGGGAATTCCAAAGATTCCAGTCATTTTATATTTGAGAGAGAACATAGCATGTGTACTGTTACCAAGATCTCATACAGCATTCGTGACAAGAATTCTCCTGCCAGTGTTTCAGCAAGAACATATTACAGATTTATTCCAAAATAGTCAGATATTAAAGTTCTATATTACTCCTTAAAATCAACAATTTTTTACCAGTAATTTTTAATTTTTTTCATAGTTACAATTTTGTTTTGCATTGAGAACTTTAGAGATCCACTCGTAGCAACTTTCAAATATGCAATCCAGTATTATTGCCTATATTCACTATACTGTACATTGTATCCATATGACATTTATTTTAGAACTGGAAGTTTGTACTTTTTCACCCCTTTCATGCATTTTGCCAGTCTCACCCTCAAAATTATGTTTTTCTCATTAAAAATTCAATAGAATTATGTTAAATGAGTACACAAATGTACAGCTGATCTATATATCTGGGGTGTTTCAAATTATGCTTTATAAATTTTTGCTTTATTTACTTACATGTAATCTATTAGAATATTCCCAATACCTTCTTTTTTTAAAAATATATTTTATTGATTTTGTACAGAGAGGGAGAGAGATACAGAGTTAGAAACATTGATGAGAGAGAGTCATCGATCAGCTGCCTCCTGCACACCCCCACTGGGGAAATGCCCGCAACCAAGGCACATGCCCTTGACCGGAATCGAACCCGGGACCCCTCAGTCCCCAAGCCGACGCTCTATCCACTGAGCCAAACTGGTCTCGGTCCAATACCTTTTAAAACTAAAATGTGAAAAAGCATTTAATTTACTGTATTACATGTAAAATTTGAGTTTAGCATTTCTCATTGTATTTAAAGTATGTATATAATAACATGTTATAAATATATAATTGATTTCAGAGAGGAAGGGAGAGGGAGAGAAACATCGATGAGAGGAAATCATTGATCAGCTGCCTCCTGTTTGCAATATATTTTGAAACGTATCAGAAAGTAAATGGATTAATGTATGGAGGGATGCATAGATAGTTACATATGTGACAAAGCAAATATAACAATGTTCATTGTAGAATTCAGGTGACAGGTGTATGGGTTACTGTATCATTTTTTTTAACTGAACATTTATATAATTAAAAAATAATCTCTGCTAGACTTTGAAGATTCATACCTTACAATCCATATTATTGAATTAAAATTCTGTTAAGACAGCATTTAAACTACCTTTCAATAAAATTGTCTTTACTAATAGACATGAATTTTTCTTAACATGGATATTACTTTTTAAAAAAATATATATTTTATTGATTTTGTACAGAGAGGAAGGGAGATAGAGAGTTAGAAACATCAATGAGAGAGAGTCATCAATCAGTTGCCTCTTGCACACCCCCTACTGGGGATATGCCTGCAACCAAGGTACATGCCTTTGACTGGAATCGAACCCGGGTCCCTTCAGTCCCCAAGCCGACGTTCTATCCATTGAGCTAAACCGGTTTCGGCGGATATTACTTTTTAAATGTTTAAGAAGTACTTATGTCTCTATTTAGAAAATTTATTCAACAGGAATGCAAAATAACTAAATGATTTGTTTTAAATAGGGTTTATTTTTCTAGAATATCTAAGTACATACTCATAACTTGTTAACAAGTTAACTAGATTCACCATTTTCAAATCAGAATGGTGGTTGTGTGACAATAATTTTAAAAAATATATATATTTTATTGATTTTTTTACAGAGAGGAAGAGAGAGGGATAGAGAGCCAGAAACATCGATGAGAGAGACACCGATCAGCTGCCTCTTGCACACCCCCTACTGGGGATGTGCCCGCAACCAAGGTACATGCCCTTGATGGGAATCGAACCCGGGACCCTTCAGTCCGCAGGCCGACGCTCTGTCCACTGAGCCAAACCGGTCTCGGCGACAATAATTTTTCTTAAAGGAGATGTCTTGATCAGGGTTTAATGCAGAGGACAAAAGCTACCTTTAAGTAATTTAAGCCAAAGGGAATTTATTACATGGTATATTACAAATGATTGTTAGGGTTGTAAACAGCTTCAGGAATGCCTCACAAATTCATGCTATGGAACTGGACTGCTGCCATGATCAGGAATTCACTCCTGAATGGGGAAGCACCCACCCCCTTCACTATAAAGCACGCCATCAAGAAGGATGCCTCAAGCCCTGGCTGGTGTGGCTCTGTTGGTTAAGCAGGTGCATCCTGGAGGCAACCAAGGGATGGATGTTTCCTCTCACATCAGCGATTCTCCCTCCAATCAATAGAAACATTTTAAAAAGGGATACTGCTCAGTGGTAAAAGTGTAGGCCCACGCACCAAAAGGTCCCAGTTTCTACTCCCAGTCAAGGACACTTCCGCATAATAGATTTTTTTTTTTAGGTATAGCATTTGGCCACTGGAGGGCTTCCAAATGCCATAAAATGCATTAGGAAATAAATTAGTCTATAGTATGTATTGGTAAAGTTCTAGGGAAGGGCTGCATGGAGTATAAATGGCATCAATTGTAGTAAGAGACTCGATCTGAAATCTAGCTGCTTTAATCATAAAAGAAAAATAAATTTTTCTGACCCCCTTCCCCTTCCTCTCAAATGATTTGTGCTATTAAAGGTACCACTTCTTTAGATCAGAAAACTTGATGAAAATCAAGATGCATTTGTGGAGATTAGATGGCATAAAATGTTAATTGTTTACCTTTTTAAAAAAAATGTATATATATTATTAATTTCAGAGAGGAAGGAAAAGGGAGAGAGTGATAGAAACATTAATGATGAGAATCATTGATTGGCTGCCTCCTGCAGACTCCCCACTAGGGATCGAGCCCTCAACCCAGACATGTGCTCTTGACCAGAATCGAACCTGGGACCCTTTAGTCCAGAGATCCACACTCTATGCATTGAGCCAAACCAGCAAGGGCTAAAATTACCTTTTTAAGGTGATAATTTTCTTTGATACTTCCTTGGCCTGTAAGGGCATTTCCTATTCA